GCCCGCAGCACCTGCAGCCCCCAGGCCCCCTCGAAGGCTGCCACGTCCTGCTCCGTCACGTCCGACAGCGGGGACAGGTCAAATCTGGGGTGGGGGGGGACACCAGGTTAAGGGCAAGAACAACACCCAGAAAAATCTCCCCCCCAAACCTGTAAAAAAAAGCGGGTGCTGCCGATCCATTGGTGTAACGACGTGTGCACGTTCTCAGCCCACCAAGGCACGGAGTGGTGGGAAATACAGGGTGGGCAAACCCACTTGTAGGGGGGATGCGTGGTCAAAGAGGACACTGACACCCCAAAAAATCCCCCTGGGGGGGGGAAAAGCCCCATAAGAATACACAGGAGCTGTGAATCCATCAGTGTAACAAAGTGTGCACGTTCTCAGCCTACCACGGTACTGAGTGGTGGGAAATATGGGGGTGCAAACCCACTTGTGGGGGGGACACATGGTCAAAGGGGACACTGACACCCCCAAAAAATCCCCGTGAGGGGAGAAAAGCCCCATAAAAATACACAGGAACTGTGAATCCATCAGTGTAACGAAGTGTGCACGTTCTCAGTCCACCAAGGTACCGAGTGGTGGGAAATATGTGGGTGCAAACCCACTTGTGGGGGGGCACACATGGTCAAAGGAGACACCGACACCCCAAAAAATCCCCCTCAGGGTGGAAAAGCCCCATAAAGACACATGGGAGCTGTGAATCCATTGGTGTAACGAAGTGTGCACGTTCTTAGCCCACCAAGGCACTGAGTGGTGGGAAATACGGGGTGGGCAAACCTGCTTGTGGGGGGGACGCATGGTCAAAGAGGACACCGACACCCCAAAAAATCCCCATGGGAGGGGGACACAAAACCCCATAAAAATACACAGGAGCTGTGAATCCATCGGCGTAATGAAGTGTGCATGTTCTCAGCCTACTGCGATGCCAAGCGGTGTGAAACACAGGGCTGCAAACCCGATCTGGGGGGATGTGGACCCCCCGAGGAAGCCCCCCAAGAAGGATACTTGGTGCCGACGACCACCTTAACGAGGTTTTCTTCGCCGGGGCCGACTATCCGGCTCATCTGGGCTGGCAGCTCCTCGAAGGACGAGCGGTCGGTGAAGGAGAAGAGGAAGAGGATGGCGTCTGCTTCTTCCTTACAGGCCTGTGGGGGGGGGGGAAAGCAGCCATTACGAGGGGGGCCTGTGCCTGTGTGTCCCCCCTTCCCCCCCCCCCCCCGCCCCCGACTCACGGGCAGGAGATGCTCGAAGTTTTTCAGGGCCCCGTCCCCGCAGTCCCAAAAATGGAGCTGGAAGATGACGGGGCGGTCGCTGGCCCGCGGCTTGGCCGGCCAGAACACCGTGCTGGCCTCTATGCCTAGGGTGGGGGGGGACACACGGCCACGCCACGGTCACCCTTGGGGGCCA